TACGTATCATATATATATATATATATATATATATATATATATATATCATTTTTACGCATGCTTTACGTCCTTCTCATTATCACCGTTGTAATCGCATCAATTTTCGCATCGGGTTTCGAAAAGCACACGCGCAACCTACAAACTCGCTTTCCGAGTCGGAATGTTAGCGGGAAAGTTCGTAGAAAATCGGAAGTATCATCGTAACCGATCGACAAGGTTAATGTTTTTTCCTTTTGTTCGCAGGGTACTATGAGCCTAACCAAACGCATTGACGAAATCAGGTTGCTCGAATCACGTAAGAGTGCTCGACTGGCCGATCAGGACACCGATTTCGCCAGGCTCGCAGACATGGCTGGAGATCGCAAGCGAGCATCTTCCCACTCCATCGACGTGCCACACGTGATGGCGTAAGTTTTTCCTCTCTTTCCCTATTACTGTCTCTTATCTAGAATGCCTTTATGCTCGAGGCAGCAGATAAGGTCGGACGTAACTGCCATCGATTGACCATAAAATTTGTGCCGAGACAAGCAAAGTCGTCCTTTTTAACCGTCGTTGGAAAGCAAAATATAGTTTTCGAAGCGTGGCGAATCCTTACTCTCTTGACTCGATTATGCAAATTTCACGCACCTTCCTTGTGAAAGTTATTCGAGCGTTTCTCGAAGTTACGTTTCCGAAATTTTTCATTTTTCACTTCTGCAACCGTATATGTAATACTTTTGTTGCAACATATGTAGCTCGAAAATTGTAAATATATCCCAAAATAAATATATCCCCTTCTCTGAAGGAATGCGAAAAACAATTTACATGTTCGGCTTATCGATCAAGTGTAATCTTTGCTTTCAAATTATATGTTTTTATTTCTTTTTGGAATAACGTCGAACGTAAATTTCCTAGATTGACCTGCTTATCCAAGTCCTTCCCAACTTCCACAAGCGTGGCCTTCGTGAATCCGACTTATGGCAACATCCTCTCGATATTATATCGCGATGTATTTATAAAGACTCCCTTCTTCCCTGTACCGAAAATTCGTGAGTATGACTTTTATTCAGTAAATTTTCAATCTCTTAATAATATTAATAATTAAGTTTAATAATTAATTGCCGGTTGACTTTTTTTTATATAATTAACATAAAAAAAAATTAAGATGAAAAAAAATATAAGATGAAGAAAAAAAATGTTAATATAATGAAAACGTGCATTTTTTTTTTACGATAGAACTGATAGACATAAACAAATTTTTTGTCGAACGGTACGCCTGGTGTGCCTTTGCCGTCAAATGCCTTATATGTCAAAGGTATTTTAACAATCCGACATATACCGAAGGTCATTGTCAGACGTGGTGCGCTCGCAAGACCTTTGATATTGCGGGGGGGTTATTAGAATAGCCTTTCTCCATGTCAGGCTTCTTTCTCTCATCGCGTAACGGTGACAGGCACAGGTCGACAGGTGCAGGCCGACAGGTACAGATCTGCACACACTTCCCCTACGTAAAATAGAAATCTCGTATATATAGTCGTGCGTCCCGAAGATCGGCCGTGATTTGATGCTAAAGATAAAAAGCTGAGCATCCACGTGATGTATAAAGCGGGAACGAAGGAACGTCCGTTTGCAGATCGTTAGACCGTGAATGCACCCTCACCGGGCACCTGTCTCTCACCTTTATATCGCACGCAACTCCCCAGAACGCTTTACGCCTCACCCCCGTTGAATGTCAGTGAATATTCGCTGTAGGGATACCGTGGTAAGGAATAGTTGACGGGTATTTTAGTAGGAAAAAAAAAAAAAGAAAAAAACGCAACAATGCCTTCGTGATTGCAATTTCCTTCTTGAAAGTCCCATTCCAATCGTACGATGCTTTGTGCGGATTAATTAAATGAATATTTATATATGTATGTGCGTGATTGTACATATTACAATTTTCTATTAAATTCTATTTTCATTGTTGTCTCTCTCTCTCTCTCTCTCTCTCTCTCTCTCTCTCTCTCTCTCTCTCTCTCTCTCAAAATATTTAAATTAATTTAGGCGTTAAGAATGCTGATTAGAATATAAAATAAGATATAAATTATAAAATAATAATAAAACAACCTGCGAGATTGCTGCATAATTTAATTTAGTTTGATTACACTGTAGTTTCATATTCATGAATGAATGGATGAGGAACGGCGTTTCCTGCTGTTGCGACAATGCTACGCGCGTTTCGATGTCGTCGGTTGAATTGTTTTTACATTTAAATAAGAATTCATTCAAACCTCGGTCGAAATCGCCGTCGCGAGATCCGCTTACGAGATTACGCGATTGAAAAACAATGAAGTTTCTCGTTTTTTCGCCTATTCTTGTGCCGATTATCTGTCTGGAGTCTGCGACCCCTGTGTTCCCCATTATATGAGACGAAATTTTCTTCGCTGTCTCCCTCTCTCCCTCTCCCTCATCGTTTCGCCTCTCTGAAAAGGATAGAACGGTCGTAGCCCGACGATAGGGCGACGAACTCGAGGGTTAATGACCCCCCTCCCCCCCCCCCTCGACTTTTCGTTCGGTATGAACGGAGTTTGGTCCTTGACCGAGTACCGAGGATCTTCACGTGTGTAAGGATACACATGGAAATCCGTGTAATATCCGGTCGTGTCGACACGTGTGACTATCCGTCAGGTAGAAAAACGCCGGTGCTTTTTGGTGCATACACCTGGCTCCGGCACGACCTGCCCCACGTGAAAGGAAAGGTCGCCAAAGAGAAATCGAACGTCTCCCGAAGCCCGATGGTATCGATGATGAAAGTGCCTGCGTCAATCCGGGCTACTGTTTAGCGAGAGACCTTGTGTCGTGTCCAAGGTTTTAATGTGCCGTTAATCTGACGATCGTGACGAACATTAGGCAGATCGTTTATGGTCGAGACGACCTGCTTTTGTGACTATGCCCGATGATTAATAAAATATATCTGAATACTCACGGGAGAGTGCACAGGCAATTCAATTTATTCGAGTATTCTTGGCAAAGTGACGCATAGGAGATGTGTCTTTGATAAGTTGAGCGTATCGCGGATTTGTATTTTACATGGAAAACTTGATTCTCTTAGCGGAGTTTACGCGGTGGCTAAAACGACGGCCTAGGGAAGTTAGAAAACCCGGTTCACGTAAGCGACTTGCGCCAAGTTATTTCCCCGTTACGCCGAGGCACCGTTTATTCTTTCTACCTTTCACACGCAACCGTGCACGCCACATGGTGCAACGTGAGTACCTGCGCGTGCGGGTTTGCGATAATTGATGCCGGCAAATTGAGTAACGAGGCGGCACTCTCTTTCCCTTCCCGTGACGTAATTCGGTGCGTTCTCCGCGAGGCGGATAATCAACGTGCCGGGGCGGATTTTTGCGCTTTTTCGACTCTCGACTCTCGCTCGACCGCTCGGTTTCGAATCGCTGACCCCGGTAACGAGAACAATCGGCCTCGACGTGGGGGGGGGGGAGGGGAGGAGGGGAAATGTCTGTTCCGTAATAGCGAGTGCGTGGGTGGTGCAGTCGCCGATCTCACTCGCACCGTTTCTCCCTCGCGGGGTACGCTTTTAGCCTGTTTGCACACGTTACTTGTTCTCGCGCATCGATAAAGAGTAAAACGCGAGTATGGGGACGCGAGATGGGGATCCGCGATGGTTTGGGAGCGTACCCGGGGCGGTGAGAGAGACGCGGGACGAGACGCGAAACGCAGTCGAGGACGATAGCCGCGAACACGAATAGATACGGGATGTGGATAATCCAAAATATAACTCTCCACCGAGTGAATAACTCCCGTGGCACGTCAACGGGCGCAGTGAGTCAGTAGGTTAGCTTACGTAATTTTCGGACGGCGACTCTCTCTCTCTCTCTTTCTCTCTCCGCGCGCCGGCGAAGAGTCGGAGGCCCCGACTTGTGGTGTCGGGAATTAGGTCGATCAATACTTACGCGGCCGCGCTATATAGGTCAGGTGCACTACCACGCTACCACGTATGCGACGACGAGCTCTGTCCCCCTTCCCAACGCCTAGCAACCTCCCCCCCCTCCCCCCCGCGTGCCACCCACCCCCCGGTGGCATCACGAGCCATCCACCGCCGGGACAAAACCCACCACTCCCGCTTTCAACTCAAAACTCGGCCATTCCCTACTTTCGTTTCTCTCGCGTCCCGCTCCACATACCCGCTCGCGGCGCGTTAATACGTTAATTGACTCCAATCAGCTTGGTCCAGCTGGCTCTGGCGAGAGATCGAATTGGGTGGTCGTTATCTCGGTCGTTAGTGCCGCGGAATTCGCCGCGGAATGCGTGAGACCGTTCGTCCCCTATTCGCGCTGGCCACGATAGCAAGATCGGGGAATGCGGAAGAGAAGAAAATCGAATAAACGAGGGCATTTCTCTCGAAATCGAATGATCATCGCGACGACGTGCGATAGTAAAGACCGCTTTCTACAAATAAACATTTATTTTATTTTTGATTTTTTTTTTTTTCAAGATAATAACGTTCTTAAAATCTGTTCTAGGCTACCACGGCGAAACGAGATGTTAATAAAGTATAAATATTTACAAAACATTCGGAATAGAAAAAGATAGAAATAAGGATGTAATATTTTTATCAAATATATCCCAAATTATCGAATTGAGCGCATTAATCTACCTAAACGGCTACCTGAAAACGCGTTGAAGGCGAGAGACAAGAAGTGCATGAGTCACGTATGGCTTCGCGCGTTGTGCACTTCACGCTAAGTCGAGTTAAGCTATTTGCTCCATGACCCACAATAATCATCAAGGTGTCGAAAACGCGAATAGAGGAAGCGTTTCGCAAAGCAAGGATCGCTTCGAGCTGAACACGCGCGTACGAACGGTAAATTCGCCAGCCGATTTTGCCCGAGCCGAGAACGCGCGCATACTCGCTCCCGTATTGGGAACCTGACCTAGACCAATGGCGTTCACGGTGGCCTGCCGAACCTCCTATGGAGGTGCGCGAGGCCGAAGATAGAAACATTAGAGGATTGTACGTAGCGGTTCGCAACCTAGACACACACCCGCCAAGGTCCCGCGCGACAAAATACACCGGCATCGGCGCGCGCGCGATCTTGACCTACACAGCGCGCGCGACATGCAGATGTCATTTCGATCATGCCGCGCGGCCTCGCGTACCAAGCGAGAGAAAAATGTAAATTACACGAGCGAGTTATGTAAACCGCGTTATATTAACCGGGCGCGCCGTATCCTCCCGTTCCAAAAAAGGATCCATAAATCTACCGCCGAAACTGGGAATTACCGGCGCGCGGCGGAACCGGTACACAGGTACACGTACACGCGCACGCGTGACCCCCCCCCACACACACACACACACACGCGCGCGCGCGCGCATCCACGTAGATCATTCCGAGGCGTGTAAGCGGTAATGTGTAGTGCCGGTCTTATC